GTTGCCTTCTTCTCTGCCCTCTGCTCCTCAGATTGGACCTGGCCTGTGGACAGAAGTATGTATCCTTGGTCTCATGCCCTTAGGACCCTCCTGAGAGGAGCTGCCCATGAGTGTGAGTCCTGGTGAATGATCCTGTGTGGGACGGTTTGGCTAGCATGGGGACTGTACCAGTCAAGTATAAATTAATGAATGTGATGGTACCCATTGTGGGAAAGGTGGGGGAAAGCTGTTGGATCGATGATGACATGTGGATCTGTATGAGAGAGGACTGTGAATACCTGCGGCATCTGAGATCCTTCAGTATCTCCCACCAAGGGGGATTGACCGAGAGTCTCAGTGTGCCAGAGGCAAAGTTGGGCAAGTGTTTATTTGGGTGTTCTGCTTTTCCCTGTGTTTCTCAGAATGGATGAGTCCTGTGGACAGGAGGATGGCTCCATATTCTGGTGCCCATAGGACTGTGCTGAGGCGGAGCAGCAGCCCTGTGTGAGTCTTTCTACGTGTTCCTTATTGGGACAGGCTGGGATCTGTAGAACTTGTATTCCCTCTGTGAACGCATTGCTTAATGAATTACAATGTAGCAGTTTTTAGACAAAGTGAGAACTTTTTGGGCTCGATGATGACTGCTGGAGGTGTCTGAGTGAGGACGGTGACTAACCTCTCGATCTGAGGTCCTTCCCTCACTGTAATTGTTGGTGATGTCACCAAAGTGTCTTTGTGAGAGGACAATAATGGGGCCCACCTTCATTCATGCCCTTTTCTTTTCCCTCATGGTCTCAGATTGGCGGAGGCCCATGGACACCAAGATGGCTCCATGCTCAGGTGTGATAACCCCATGGTGGGCGGGAGATGCAGAGAAGTGTGAGTCACGGGCAGTGGTCCCCTTTTGTTGGGGGTGGCATTTTGCGGGCTTCTCCGCATTTTAGTTGTGATTTACTCAGTGAATGAATGAGAGAGTAGTCCTTTGGGTGAACAATGAGGACTCATAGTGAGTCGATGATGACTGCTGGAGGTGTACGAGTGAGGACAGTGACTTGCCTCTGGATCTGAGTT